ATTTATATGTGTATATATATTATACATTCATACATACATACATAAATACATACATACATAAATACATACATACATGCATACACAACACCTACCGTAATTTACGCAGATATCTCGGTCCGGGTTGAATGCGGCTCCTTGCAGGATAGCCGCGGGAAATGAGATCTCATTGGCCTGTGCGGAGTACATCGCATTGACCATTTGCGGTGGCATACCCCAACAGTCACGATCAGTCGGATTATTGCACTGTAGGAGATTTTATAGAAGTTGTTAAAATGATATTATGTTCCCATCGAATGAGATAAATTCCGATGTGTTTGCATCGAAGGAGAGGCACAGCTTGCTACACTGTAGTAGAAGATGTAGTAAAGATAGCTAGAATGATGTTTGTCTTTGTAGCGAACGAGGGGCATTTTTTGTTTACCTATCATTGGGTTCAATTCAATTTCATACATACTTCGTATGTATGTGTATGTATATACATACATACAGTCATATATACATACAGACTTACATATCTACATACATATATATATATATATATACATTAATACATCCATACATATATATATATATATATATATACATTAATACATCCATACATACAAACATACAGACATGGTCACATTTTCTAACTATATCAAGGTAGCATCCAAAGACACTAAGTCATACCGAATGTAACTCTAAATAATCTTATTTGGTAACCCTACAATACAGGCGCGTTTTGCAGATGACTACACCTGTGCCTAACAATCAAGAGTCTTCTGACAAGCCGACTGACAATCGGAGAACGTGGCAGCACTGGGTGAATAGGAAGTATATTGACCCGCACTAAAGGGATAGGCACCAACAAGGCCATTAATTGCACTTCAACCCAGATTCATTTAGGTGCGTACATACAAAAGCCATCCATTCAGTTACTAGAGATATATGAATGGTCGGATAACTCACAAATAAATTATACATACCTTCAACCAGTCGTGGATGTGTTCAAACTCGAAGATCTGTCTCACTATGGAGAGGAATGTATCATCTGGCTTGGGTGTGAATGTGGAGTAGTCGATGTACTGGTCGGGGTAACCGATTTTAATGCCCATATGGTCCACTTTTTGAAGTGCCTAGAAGATACGAGTGGGTAGTGAAAATACGTAAATGATACGTATATTCCATTCACAAGCAGGTCTATATGTATATATATATATATATATCAATGTGTATATATATATATCAATGTATATATATATATGTGTGTGTGTCTGTGTCTGTGTGTGTGTGTGTGTGTGTGTGTGTGTGTGT